CGCGGTGGTGGCGGGGTCTCTGCTCAAGGAGCAGCCGCTGCACCCGAATTGGGGGTTCAGCTTTTAGCACCCTGCTTTGCCTGTCGGCGTCCCAGGCTACCCAGCTGCAGAGGTGCTGGGCTTTTGGGGGCGCCTGCGTAAGGGCGGCCGCGGTTGTACGACTTCTTGTGCTTTCGGTGACTCCCGACGAGGAATATTTGCATCTCGCTGGCGTTCAGAGCGGGGAGAAAGGAAGGGAGGAAAGGACGTGGCAACAAAACTCCGCAACAAAAGATATTGCGGCAAAAATCTGGCAAAACTGGGAGTGGGAAAGAGGAGTGGCAAGGCTGAGCAAAGCGTCGTGGAGTAGTGACTGGAGCAGGAGAAGTAGCAGGAGAGCTTAAAATGAGGAGAGACCGGGGACGGGGCGGAGAGAGGGCGTGGAAATGAAAAGGAGACCGGGGAGCAGGCGGTGCGGTGCGGGTGAGGCGCTGGGGGCAGCGGGGGGAGCATCGGGAAGCAGCTGTCGGTGGTGCGGTGCAGGGATACAGGGAACTGTTCTGCCCACGGACTTCTTTGCCGTGGAGTCCTGCTTCAGGCACCGGAGCAGATACGACCTGGGAAAGCATCGTTGTGGAGTGAAAGAAACGGTTTTATTTGGGAGACCTGCTGGCCTGCTGTGAGAGTTGGGAGGTGTTTAGAAAAGGAGGTTGGTGGGAGAGGAGGGAAAGTGCAGTGCTGAGCAGACCATGCGGTGCTGCCCTGTAGCATCAGATTTTGTCCTTGCCTCCACTGCAGAGACTATATATGATGATGTGCAAGGTTTGAGAGATTTTCTGTATAAAACACTGAGTGATGGACTGGCTGTTCAGCTCTACTTAGATTATTCAGAGTGTATCTGTAAAATGCATGAAACCCAGGTCTCTCTGAAGACCATTACAAAGCCTTCCTAGGCATCACTGGGACAGGATTTCTCAGATAATAATTATGGACTTTGTGATCTCTTCTTACCTGCTAGCCTGCCTCCTGGACACTGGGAGAGCATTAGAAAGAAGTGTACCATACATGCCTGCGCTGCTTTTAGGCCCTCTGCAAAGTGTTTGCAGCTGGGATACTGGGCTTCACGTTAGCTACATTCAACGCGTGATGTGCTGTGCGGTTTGTCTGCTGTGCTGTCTCATTCCATTTGCATCAGTGCATTTTGGGTGACAAGGCTATACAGCCTCATGAGGATGCAAGATGTCCTCAGGAGTTGTAAGATGTTTCATGTAGGAAATATGCAACGGGGAGTTTGCAGGCAGAAGGACTGACCGTTCAGGTGACAATAGCACAACTACTGTCCAAGAACAAATTCCATCCATTTACAAACAAAAATCTTAAACCTAATTGTATCCTGAATCACGCACCATCTTACATCTGATATAACCAAAATTATTAGATGTCATCATTAGTCAGGGCTTGTGATACATCTGTCACAATACTAATTAAATACTTTAGAAATACAGGTAAAGGTTACATCAGTTGTAGCACTTGTATGGGCATAACTGCATCTGCAATTAGGATGCTATGTCGCCTTCCTATTTCAAAACTGAGAAAGCAGTAAAACAAATCTTTCAACACAAATTGTTTAGCAACAGCCATGTGCTGAGTGTTTAAAAGTTCAACTGTGAATTGTGAAATATTTTGAGAATTATTATACCCCTTGTCTTAAGAAAACAATACGACATTTCAAGTGCAATGCAGAGATTACTTTTGTATAAGAACAAGATGGCTGTTCTTTTATAATACCCAAGCCCAATATCCTGCAGCCCCCAGGAGGAGCCAGCAGCAGGTAAAGCTAGACATATGTGGGAATGCCTCCTAATCCTCTCCCATTCTCCAGCCATCTGCAGCTGATGGCATGTGGCCTGTTTAGTAAGACAGTGGATTTCTCCTCATGATACTTGTCCAGTTTTCCCCTGGACCCATCATCTAGCAGTGAGTTGCACTGGTCTATCAGCTTGCATGAGACGTCACCTTTTTCATTTTGAATGTGGCTTCACCCAGCTTCATGTGATGCTTCCCTTATTGGAAGTGTACGCGAGCAATTGGGTCCCTTCCAACTCGAGAGATGCTATGATTCTATGACTGCGTCACATTGAGTTGGTATGAGGTTAATATATCCTTCCACTGGCACCTGAAATGATTTACCTGATCCACAGGAATAAAGCCAAAGCAGCCAGCGGCTCTGTAGCCTGCTCCCCAGGCTGCCTGCCCTCCTCTGCCCGCCCTTGCTTTCCTCTGGCAGGTCCTGTTCTGAAACGCTTCCTTCTCCACTTCCCTCACCTGTTTCCTTCTCCTTGCTCCTTGCTTTCACGCACCATCTTGGGCCTCAGCTTCAAAGCCCTTCTCAGACCTATCTGTTGCTATTTTTTATTTTTTTTTCATATCTTAGGTGGTAGTAAAGACCTCCGCTTCCCAGCGATCCTGGCTTTGCCGCTGTTACCCGTGCTTCTCAGAACGTGACCTTGCCTCCCAGCTGACTTTAAATCTCTTCATTATTTCCTTCTTTTTAAATCCCTTTTCAAGGCTAACTTCTGTGGCAGATACTGACCAAATAACAATAAGTTGAGGGAAGATGAGAACAGCATCATTAGCTGTTAAAAAGAAAACAAAAGCAAATACATGCAATGTGTATAAAATAGACGATATTCTCACAGCAACTCTTACCTGCTCATGTAATTCTGAGCTCCAGCCTTACGTGCACATCTCCCTTCCCATGTATGAGAAGTGCTGGAGAAATAAGGCAAGTATTCCTGAGTCAAGCTAGGGTTTATTATATGTTTATGTAAGAACTTATAGAAAAGAACCTTCACTGTTTTCTTGGAGGAAATTATTGGACTATATATGTATCTGAATATAATCAAAACCCAAGTAGTTTATCAACATCTTGGTTTATAAGCAGATGATAAGATTAAGAACAGTATTTAAACATAGTAAAATGTTCTGTGTTACGTGTTACAAAAGACAAATAATTCTATCATCTTTCTGTAGTGGATAAGCTGAGGGAAATATTTGAGAGTGTTTAACTCAATGTACTGTATTCTCTCTTAGCAGGAAGGGATACATAGACCTGAACGCCATACATGAGAATCTCTAATCTCTGCAATTTATGTATTGGAAGAACCGATTCAGCTGAAGTATCTAGATGACTTTCTGTAATGTGTGCACTGGTTCTGGCTGATCCAAATGCTGGTTATGATGCTTTTTGTACCTGAGGTTTTTCTGCCTGGTCTTCTGTACCCTTTCAGTCTTTTGCTTCACATTTATAAGAGAAAGGATGGCTTAAAGGGACATTATTCCAATGAACTGTGGGACAGAAGGTGGCAAATGGTGACATATCTGTGGAACTTGTCTGGAAAATTATGGAATTGTAAGTGAGGGTTTTTTCTTTTATCTTGAAAATAGTGTCTAATAAAGAGGAAGAACTGGAGGAAATGGCAGTTCTCCAGTTGCAGATGTACACAGAAGGATGTACAATTGGCTTAAGCTTCAAAGACCCTCCAGTCCTCTAAAAAGCGATTTGCCAATGTATAAATGACCAGATACTCAAATATTATTTGTGACTTGCAAAACTAGAGGTGTCTCAGTATTATCTCCTTTTCGCTTTTTTTGTAAAGACTAGAGTCCACTGAGCAAATGCAAATCATGAGGTCCAGGTAGTTTGACATAGGATTCTGTGACCATCTGTGAGAGATTTTTTTTCTCTGTGTCAAAGTCCCCTTTGTCACTTAGATATGAGTGATCTGGCACACAAGAAAGTAATTTTATATGGCATCATTGTCTCGGTGAGAATTTAACTCTTACAGTCCCAAAAGCCTTGCACTTCTAATTCTTGTTCAGCACATAACATTTTTTTGCTTTTATTTTGAAATACATGAAGCTGTCCCAGCTAGATTCGATATTTTCTTTAAATGGTTGAGGAGCCAAACAAATGTTTCTAAGGACATAAAGCGAACATGATATCCAGGCATGTTATTTAGGTCTGTTACTTACTATGTGATGCATTTTTGATCCCCTAATTGCCTTCTTAAAGACACCTTAAGTCTCAGCCTTCTAGTAATGGGCAGAATCCTCTAATTATGTTGTAGCTGTACTCAGATTGTGTCACTAGACAAATCTGTGGGAGATGCAGGTTCTTGTAATCATTGTGGTTGCCTTAGCTGTTATGGTTTATTCAGCATTTGCAATGACAGTGAAACAATAACACTGTTAAACAGTAAATACTTTGCTTTCACAGAAGCAAAGCAATAGTGTTTAAGAGAAAGTCTACTGGAAAACAAGAAATAAAGGGGTGCTTCAGTCACAGCTCCACATCCTTTGATTCCAGGACAGAATATGAATTTTAATTGCTCTTATTTTTATACAGTGAAGGTTTCTGGGGTTTTTGTTGTTGTTGTTGTTTTGTTTTATTTTGGTTTGGTTTTGCATGTGTGTTTTTGTGTTTTGTTTTGGTTTTTTTTTTGGTGGTGGTGGTGCTTTCTTTTCTGCTTCTTTTTCTGTATAAACCAGGCCAAATAAGCATATGTGACATTTCACCAGAGTAGAGAAATTGCCACAGAATAGATAACTGGTTTGTGGCAATACCGGGGAGTCCCCTTGGTTATTGCTGGTACCATTAATTCCTACATGAAGAATCATCTAGCTCACACTTGGAGGCAAAAGCCAGAAAGACTAGAAAGATAACAGATAACTTTTATAATCCTTGTACCATGGATTTGATTGTCCCTTGTTCCATGTGTCTTCACAGCCCAAATGAATATTGTCAGTGCCTGCTGTCTTCAAAGCACCTTTGAATCCTGTGGGAACCATAATTAATTGGAACGGTACCTGTTTGGTCTTGCCAGTTATCAGACACTCTTAACCTAATACTTCTGCTCCTGCCCATTGTGGCCTTTGGTTTAATTTTTTATATTCCTTTTTTTTGTACGGTAGTACATGCAGTTAAATTGTATCCAGTTACATAGTCCTAGATAATGGACCAGACCATTTATTTTACAAGCGGACGCTATTCATTTGCGCTTTTGGAAGTGCTGCTGATGTCATTTAAGCCAGAGGAGACCACATCCTGAGACTGTGCGCACGTCGGGGACATCTTACAAAATTAATTTAAGGATGTGTAGCTTTAATTCTTCTTTACGGTAAAGTATATTTCTCTATGAATTGGGCTAGTTTTTGTAGGTGCAGCTTTCTGTGACTGTTCCTATAAGGAAGTTTTATAGTGCTTTATTACAGCTCTGTTTTCCAGTATAGCTCTGAAAATAATAACTTTATGCTTTTCTGTTGCTTACTAATTTTTGCTTGCAAGTTCACGGTTTTTGGCATTGTGTAAGAGTCCTAGTCATGGACCCATTATACAAAACAGTATGTACATACTGAGTAAAGAGATTGTTTCTAGTCTAAAGAGTGGGCAGCAGCTTTGTGTAAAGAATGCAAGACTTTTGTGGAGATTTATTATGCTTTCAGGCCAAAAAGCGGTGTCAAAGAAAGACAAATCAAAGGAGATGGCCATAGGCAAGAGCTTATAGAAGCAATTAATTTTTCACCTCAACAGCCACCACCAACCACAAAACAAGATCCTACTGGTTGAAGTAACTGCAGGGTAACAAAACTAATCTAACAGATATAGCCTCCAAGAATCAGGGTGGCAAATTAGGGACATGCCTTTGCCTATCTGCAGTAAACCAGCTTCATGTTAGTTCTTCCATAATAAAAAGGAGGTCTTCCATATAGGGGTTTTCCTCTGGCACTGAACTTGTTCCTGCTAAGGTCCTGACCTGCAGGTGGAAGGATGCCCTGCCTTGCACCTTAATGTCTGAAGCTGGGAAAGCTGTAGCAGTAATAGGCTGGACACTTGCTAGAGATTCTTTTTATGTTAAAACTTTAAATGACTGGTGACTTTATTATTTTCTTTCTGTTAAGTTCATAACAATTATATATGTATTTCTTTCATGGTACCTTTGGATAATATGGTTTTAAATTTATTTGCTGTGTTTCATGATTAGTATTTTCAGTAAAATTCTATGGGATATGTTGTTTGAACTAGTCATTGAACCATCTTGCTTCCCAGTTCATATTTGAGGATCCAAAAGCCTTAGCTGCATTTTTATTTTCAAGTTTTTTTTGCTGAAAGGGAAACTTTTATTTCATTCTGCTCTTTCTGCACTCTCTAGGCCCATCAAGTATTTTTAATTTCCTTAGTTGTGCAATGTGACTATGAGAAACTGTACTTTGTTCATCTGGGAAGTATTTCCCCAAATTCAGTGGTTTGATTGCAAACAACACTGACCAATGTGAGGAGAGTCTACCTACTGAAATATAACTTACAAATAAGAAATTTCATTTCTCTGTTACAAGCTCAGGGTAACCACATATAGAGAGGAATGGCACAGGAATGTACCAAACCAGCAACTTTCTTTGAGATGAAGAGCGGTATTAGAGGATCAAGAAGCAGCTTGTTAGTTTCTAACTACATTTACCCTAGGAAATGAAATAGTCAATCATCTGAGTTAAAGAGCTATTGTAACTTGAGTGTGATTCAGGGGTACTTAAGCTAATTGCTTACTGTTTTTTTAATAGCATACGACTTTTTTAGCATAAGGGAATGTGACAAGGGAGACTTGCTTGACTCACGGGCTTTGACTTAAATCAGGCTCAAAGTGATTTACTGATTAATTAATGACATGTAATTAGTGAACTTCACATTCTGGATCAATACCAGCGTGTCAACAGATAAAGCAGAGTACAAGACACTTGCAAAATGTTAAAAAGCACCTACAAGTTTCTAAATGCTCTTTTCTAACTAATCCCCCAAATTTCTAATCCCACAGGAGCACGTTCACATGTGCACACCCCTCTCTTGCAGGACGGGGAGGTGACAGGCGCAGCCCCAGTCTTTTGGCCGTGCACGTTCTGCTGCTGGAGATGGGGCTGCTCCCGCTTTGTGCATCGCAGTGCAGCTCCCTGCCGCCTGCTAGTCCATCCGCTGGCGAGAGGGCACCCCATGAGTTCCTGCACACACCCCGAGCTCTGGGTCCTTCTGCTGCTGCACCCCATCCTGTCAGCCCTGCTCTCCCCGTGGGACGGGGACGATGCGGTGTCAGGCCGAGACGGGGACGCGATGGCAGCGGGGTGACTCCTGGCAGCATCCGAGGCAGGGGTCTGGTTGCTGCACTGAGCACCTTGCCACCCCCAGGTCTCACCCCACAGTCACAAGTTTCCTTCCGTCTTTTATACTTCTCCTCAGGCTGACTCTTTTCTCAAAAGCCTCTTGGTAATGCCCTGGTTGCTGCTTAATCCAGTGGATGCCTATTGTAAACAAACATTGTCAATATTAGTTTCCTCATTTGATTCTCAGTTTCGGGGGAACCTCCTCTCAGACCAGGCAGTTTTGCGTGTCCTGTCCACACGAGCTGTTTACATTCGCACTGCTGCCATACCACCAGTTACTATCCAGGCCATGCTACCAGGACAGGTCCATCAGGAGGTTTTGTTACCTCAAAACTTGACTGGTATAAAATTACTATTATAACGTTTCATATTCTTGACAGGTGAGGAGCTTTGTCAGGTGGAAGAAATGCCAGATGGTCCATCACTCACCCTGGAGCCACCCCTGCTGACTCTGGCTTACTCAGCCAGAGCACAGTCTGGTCATTTCACATTTAAAATACCAGGGAAATATCTCCTAATTATTTATTCCATATGTCTTGCTGCTTTTATGATACAGGGAAGATTTCATGTACATAACCATCATTGAGAATGAACTGGATATAAACAGCAGTCCTACTTGAGCTCTCTATGGGCAAACTTCTTTGGAGGAATTAAGCTATTGTCAAATGTACGGTAATATGTCGGTAGCTAGAAGTGAAACTCTTCAAAATGACTTTACTGGGAGGGGGTTCCCTCCAAACATTGCCTGTATAACTGCATTTCCAGATTAGAAAATAAATGCTAAAGCCTTTTAGATGATGTATGTTATCTGTGTACGTCATGAATATAAAGACTGAAGTTCCTGCAACTACCAGATGTGTTTGGTTTTCTTTTTTTGTTTCTTAACAGGCAAAAACTGTAGTTCAGACTCTAAGAGACAGACATGAAAAACCACCAGAAAACATGCTAAGAGCTTTATTAGAAAGATTTCATGAACATCAGAAGGTTGACTAATATGTTGAAATGTTTTATCCTAAGTCTTCAAATTAATGAATTGCTAGAACTTGTAATATTTTAAAGAAATTTTAATTCTTTAATAGATTTATTTAAATGTATTTGTTTTTAAAGTCAAAGTCACTGTACTCATAGCTGATTTTCTTCTTTCTATAAAACGTTTGGGGTGTATTCTCTATTCCAGATAAGCTCGTACCTTCCTTGACATCTACTTGCCACAGATTTTAAGTAGCAGGGGCAAGCATTTGGTCTGGGTCTTGAGAAATTCTGTTCCTCCTTATTTTTATTTCTCTTGGGCTCTCTCTGAGGCTGCTTCTAGACAGGACAAGAGATGAGATGACCCTCTCTTATGGGGTGGGAATGTAACAGTAAAGTCACAGTGAGTTAAATTTTCATGTTTTTTGTTGAAGTGTTTTTCCATTTAACATCACAAGGGTTTCTGTCTATTTTAGCTAAACATCAAAAGACTTATTACCTGTTTTCCAAACAAGAGATACAGAATCAGGCAATCTGAATCACAGGAAGAGTTTAGTACTCTCAACTGTGTTTACTGTCTGTTTCAGAAAAAAAAATAAGTTTAGAAAAAGAGTTTGAGGCAGCATTTGGTAGGCCATTACTCTCATCCCTCTATTTTTCCATTAGTGTTATTTCCAATAGTGTTATTACTACATTGTTGGGTTTGTTATCAACATTTTTACCTTAGCATGAATTTATATTTCATAATGTGCTTGTTTTTAGCAGTGGTTTTAGCAAAAGGTACCTATATGATCAACTAGCATGGAGAGAAATTATCCTTTATGTTGCTACTATATGGGGATTAACAAAAAAAGGATAGCAGTTTTTTAGTAGTTTCATATGTACTTTTTTTTTTTTAATGAGAAAAACACAATGGATTTGTTTTCTTTAATGGAGTTTGGGTTTTTGCTTTTTTTGTTTTAATCCTCAGTAGCATAATAAATACAAATTTTATAGGAGGTTTAATGTGTATATTTTGGGCTCTTGTTAATTGAAAGGTTGGGCTGTTCTTTTGATACTGCTTTACACAGGTCCAAACAAAACTCATCAGTTTGCCATGTCAGGTTTTTAATTAGTGTGACTGTGGCATGATCAGACGGTAGTGAAGTTTGGATATGTGCCTTATAGGATGCCCCGTAAGCCTGTATTTGGTCTGGATCAGGCACAGTCACACATTTCTTCTGAATTAGAAAGAGGGAGAGAAGGGAAGGGGAAGGAAAGGGAGGGGAGAGGAAGCAGCCTTAGTCCTTTTCCTGGGCCATTTCTCTAAAGCCTTTAAGAGTTCTAGGACTTTGTCACGTGAACGCAATTCAAGACACAAGACAGGGCTCACTGGGCAGTCTGGACAGGGTGCCACATCAGGTCCTACCGCAGTGATTAGAAAAGCTGTTTCTGCTGGAAACCCACACTGACGATTTGGTTTTTTTTCCAGTTCTGTTATGTTAAATCATGCTTAAGTGGTACATTTATTCTCTGCTCTTCATTTAAGATGAAATACTGTATTCCCCAAAACCAGCGTAAATGCAAAACCATAATGAGTCCAACTGCTTTGGGGGGCAGTACTTTATTTGAGAAGTGGCTCATGGGGATGGATGCGATGTGCCATTCAACAGAGAGAAGGATGTTTTGGTATCTCCTAGCAGCAGTGGCTTGTAACCCTGAGAGAGGCTGGGGGAATGTGTTTTTGGATCATGGTGCTGGCCGAAACAGGTTTTGAATTGTGAGTAGGGAAGATTTCCCTAGTTGCTTGAGTCTTCCAGTGTTTGGAAAAGCAAAACTCTGTACTGTACGATAAAATTATTCACAGTTGTCTGATTTTACCAGCGGTTTCTTTTAACCTACAAGCCCCTAAACAAAGGCCTAAAGCAAGTCTATGGAAAGAAAATGCTTTAGAAGTCCAAGGCAGAGATTTTAGATCTGAAGAAAATTCCTGTTTTCAGTCTCTCATCAGCTCCACACCAGGGTAATAACCTGTCCTGGTTATGCTAGAGCAAATACAATGTAGCTGTAGAAAGAGGGATAGGATTTCATATTAAAACATGATTAGAATATGAAATGTGTGGTGGGTTTTTTTCTAGGCTTGTATCTGGAAAGTCCCCAGAAACCAGAAAAACAGATCAGAAAGAAAAGACTTTCTGTCCGGGCAGCTGCCACCTGTGTAGCTGTTGGTTGCTGGGGTTGTCTCAGTGCTGGCCCTGCTGTAGCTCTGTTGGTTTTTTCCAGTGTTACTGATGTATAAGGTTGGGTTCTCAAACACTTTGCAAAAACACAAGGAAGAGACTTCAGCATTCAGACTTGTATTTATGGTGGTTTGGCTCAGTGGCTAAGTTCTGCCAGGTTTACTACAAACTATAATAGCCAAAACACATTTGGCCTAATGATAAGCAGATCAGGAGTTAAGACATACTTTCTTGTAGCAAGGAGGTCTGCATAAAGCCTGAAGGTGTCCCCTATGGCCATCAATCATCTCTCAGTCTTTCCCTCTTTTACAGTGATGAGAAACAGCACACCTTGCAAATTTATCCTACCCTTATCCATTAGCAAACCTGTGTGTAAACAGTGTACATTAACCAATAATCCAGGGAGCTTGGCAGTACCTACTGAGACCTCTTGCTCTCAGGAGGAGGAACAGTATAGGGGAGGTTGATATAGATGGAGTTTCACAAATGTATATTGTGGCTTTTGCATACAATCATTAAAGCATTACACACGGACGTAGGAAAGGGTGAGATACAGGGACAGGTATCTGCAAAGATAAACTGAAAGACAGTAGCTAAAACGTGATTATGGGTGATCAGAAGAGAGACAGCATGATTCAGAGCATTAGCAAGTGGAATACAGAATATGGCACATCTTGTTTTCGAATTCATCCTTGACTAATACTTGAAAGCTACTGCCATCTTCATATGAGCTGTTTGCCTGATGTGAAATAAGTTTGGGATTAGCTTGGTTAGCCATGAGCACAACAACCATCAACATAGTTGGTGGCATTTATCCTTACTGGCAGCCTCAGGTGCTAGTTATGCCAGGAAGTCAAGCAGGACGGGGAAGGGTCAGGTGCTGAGATGCAATCACCGTTTCTGTTTAAATGCCAGCATGGTCCCTGGCGCAGTTTTGGCCCACGCCACCTAGCAGCCTCCCAGACAGTTCCTGGGCACGGTCTGGGGGACAGAGTTAGCCGCTGACTGTTCCCGTCAGGCAGAATGGATGAAGCTACCCTGCTGTGGGGCAGGGAGGAGACAGGAGTTCAGTCCCGTGGACATAAGGAGCCCTTGTCCTCAAGGCCAAGGAACAGCTTTTGTCCTGTTTGATTTGCTAATGCAGGTACAAGCAAGGAGACTGAATTATGTGGCCCTTAAGGTGGGTCCTACAGATCAGTCTTGAAGTACCAGCACAGGGAAGCTTGTTCTGCCACTGTATTTGCTGAACATGTTGTGTAGCTTGAAAAGAAAAAAAAAAAAAGCATCAATTTCCAGTGTGCCAGTCTGTATCCTAATCCCACACATAACAGAGAACCCTTAGATGTCTTACTGAAATCAATATGACAATTCCATATGTCTGTTTGTATGTTTTATATATATTCATACACATATATATGAAGTTCATAGATATTTGCCATGGCCTCACTAAAACCTATGAAAAAACTCCCACTGAATTCAAAAGGAAAAAGTCCAAGTTGTAAGTATGAATTATTTTTTTTTACCTACAAGGTGAAGCCCTTGTGTGTTAGAGCAATTAATTGTGGCATTGGAGTACCTAAGAAAGAGGAATAAATAAGACCAATAAATAATAACAAAAGGTAGCACAGTTAGCACAAAGAAAAGAATTTGCAGTCAAAGAAGACGACTATTCTTGATAATAAAACATAAATATAGAAAAATAAAGTGGTTTAATGCCTGAAATAAAATCCTTATTTTATTAGATGATGTCTGGAGGTGACAGTCACAGATCAGAAGAGACATAGATCTGAAACAGCCATGCATGGTGGGCCCTGGGCAGCTCCGCTCCTTTGGAAGGTCCTGGTGCTGCCCCTGCCAGGGTGGTGTAGGGTGCAGGAGCCCATTCTCCTTTCCCATGGGCTGCCTGCTCCACGGACAGGCACATTTCTCAGGATGTTTAGAAAATAAAATACATAATGAATTAAGTTAAAGCAGAAAAACTCCAAACCCTGCGGTAAAGAAAAATGCAAAATAAAACCAAACCTGACAAACACACAGAAACTTGGAAGAGAGGTCAGAGCGCATTTACAAGACAGAGAAAATATAAAACACAGTGATGTAACAGCCAGGAGGAATAAGACAACGCTGGATATAGATATCAAATATGGATGGAGATACAGATATATAAAAGGGAGAAACAGACATTACAGTTTTTGTCAGATGACAGAAAAGGTAAGTACTAGAAATAATATTATGGGGATTTTTTAGGAAAGAGAAGGGGTACTCTGTTTAAGCTGTGGTATTTAATTATTCTGGATCCTCAAGAGTAGAACAAAGAATGATAAATTATGTTTAAATAATAGAAGAACTTATTCCTGTAGAGATATATGATGTGTAAACAGCTTTTAAAGGAACAAAGAAAGCATGACAGTAATTTTCAGAGTCATTTCGAGTCATTCTTTGGGGGATCTGGAGAGTTATGAGTAGGCAATACTAAATACAGAAATGTGAAACTAAGCAATAAACTACAGACCTATTACTTCTAAATTAATTTGTCAGCAACATCTTAAAGAAATTAGTTAAAAAATGCATGTCCCTTTCTTTTGCTTATTCTTTCCATATTTAGGCAAGGTGATTCTGGAAAATAAAAGGATGTGTAGATGGTACACTTTAGGATGATCAGAAGCTCTCCCCACCAGGGCACTGGGAACGAAAGGAAATTGGCTGGCTGCACTGTGGTTTCAGTTTGTGGCTGTGATGGAAACAAAATAGTGGTTGAAGAGTCGAATTAAGAACAGGAGACAATATTTGTCCTGATATAAGAGT